CCCAACTTTGGGAAACACTGAACTAGACTACAATCTTTTTTATGCAACCTTTATCTGATTATTAATAAATCTGATCAGATGTTCTTCAAAGTGACCTCAGTCTGATTGGTCAGGTCTCAGTGAAGTTACGGGTCAGTCCAGATGTTGATGCAGAACAGAGTTATTACTCATGCATTTAATGTTTTCACAATTCTTTTTTTTATTTATTTAAGGGATGCTGAGGTCATAAACAAAGAATATTAGTCTCACCTGAGTGTCAGAAAACTGTTTTGTGATCAGTGTGAGTGAGGATCATAACATTACTCTAATAATGATTTACTCTGRAGATTTTCCTGCCAGCAGTTTAATAATCAATCTTTAAAGTGAAGCCTTTGAATTTCCCTTGTACAGATAAGCTTCAGAACCAATTGGACCTCCTGAACCCCTCAGTGCTTCACCTGTCAGGCTGTAATTACTACAGATTAGTAGTTGATCCCAGTATAAAGTGCTGCAGCTGATGTTGTGCTCAGCTTCATTATGGAGCATGTGTGAGACAATAGCTGAGTCTCCTGCTGGTTCTGATGGAAATTTACCACAGAACCGCACCTCCTGCCACCTCCCACCACCTCTGTGTGACTACACACACAAGTTTCTCCCAGCTCACAGGATGGAGCTCGGCTCACTAACAAAATCACCTGCAAATTAMTTAAACTGTGACTTTTTAAGTTTCCTCCAGCTGAATGAAGCTGCTGAGAGTTCATCAGAACACACCGAACTGGACCCGAACTCTTACCTCCTCCGTGCATCTGACAGAGATAAGGAAACCTCCAGACGTTGCCCAGACCCACAGCATATGAGACACAGGCCAGTATAAACTGCGTGGGGTTCTCCCAGTTCTCCCGTCCATCTTTCTCCATGTCTGCCCTCAGAACCAGGATCACAGCAGCAGCAGCGCAGCTCGGTCAGCATCGGGTTTGAGCGTCTGAGCTCCGCGGGCTGGAGGAGGTTCTGATGCAGGAGGAGTGGACTGTGGTTCTGTTGGCTGATAAAACCCCACCTCCAGTCCGCCAGCCTCTGTGGGGTCCTGGGGTTCTGTTCAGAGTTCAGACCAGGTTTYAGGTTTTTTTTATGTCTGGAGAACAAATGTAGCTTCATGTAAAATAAAATCAAAAACATTAAAAGTTAGATGGAAATTACAAAAGTGAAGCTGCTGCCAATCATCCTGTGGAGGGCGGGGCTAAGAGAAGAATATGAATATTTAAATGAAGCTGCGTTCAMATGGAAAAATACCAACTTCAGTTTTAAAAACCCGCTGTACCAGACTTTATTTTGGGAGAAACATATAGTTCACACTTGTTTTAGGAGCTTGAGGGGTCCCTGAAAACATTGATCATTAAATGCACCCAAGGGCATGATCACCAACTTAAAAGTGGGGGGTCGCACCCCCTCCTGCCCCCCACCATTTTTTTTTAAGTTTGTTGCTTCAGGACAATAAAACACTGATATTTTTTATATTGTGCAAATAAAGAACGAACAAACAATACACACAGAAGTTTTATTTTAACAACAAAAAACATATTGTAGCCATGAGGGGTTTGGTGGTCACTGAACAGCATTTTTAATTGATCTCAAAGTTCCACACATGAACTGAAATCTTTAAAATCTCTCAGCTGAGAAATAAAATCATTTTAAGGCAGACGTCTGAAAAATAAAATGTTTAATTTAATTTAATTTAATTTAAT